GTGATATTTATTATTAATATTCATCTAAAACCATGAATAGCTTCTAACCAACAACTTTTTTATTTACGCGAATTTCCGTAAAAGGGGAATTTTCTATCTGGATAACTGCAAAATTTATCTGTTTAATAAGACATTAAAAAGGAATGAACACTCATTTGCTTTCCACTTGAGTCGTAATATCTTACAATTATTATTATCCTCCATTCAAAATTATCATCTCATCAAAAAATCGAGAAAGAAGATCAGTCTACAAAAAATGTTGTGCCGTTTGGCATGATTATTTTAACATGTTGGTCTACCATGTTGGTTTATGCCAAACGGCCTAATATTTTCGTAGGCCACTTCCTCGATTATGTGATCAAATCATCTTACAATTCAAGTGGAAATCAAATGGGTGTTCTTGAGTTTAGTATTAACTCATTAAATTACAATGTTAACTAAACTCCAAATTGAAAACACCACATTGCAGAGAATGTTTCTTAAATGAAGATGTAGAAGATTACTATAAAATGTAGCCATTCGAGAAGTTTTTAAAATTTTATAAAAAAGGGATCTGTGCTATGTTCTGCTGTCTGTGACTTTCCAAACGATAAATCAATTACAATAATTTTTAAATGTTTTTATGGGATTTGCAATAATTGTATAACAAATCATAATTTTTATGCGTTTTGAGAAATGGCAGATAAAGTTTTGCAATAAATTATGTACAAAAACACATCTTTCATTCATAATTTGTTTCCTGGCTTTTTGGGGGATTTTATATTTTTATCCTTTTTTGATTTGAAAAAGTGACTCAGGCGTAAGACATCTTCAACACCTTCTCGAACATTGTTAAAACTCTGAAATTACACAAAAACAAGACAGAATAAATATTTATTCTAATGCACTTCTTTCAATAAGTTATAAGTAAATTTCAGTGGTGGTTTTTCCATGTTTAAGTGAGATTTCACAACTATTCATTACTCTATTCTTTCGATTTCTGGCGAAATAAGAAAACTAATCTAATGCAAACGAAGGTTACAGATTTGTATACATAACCGAGATGTGCTGCTTTCGAAATATGCTTCTTGCTAAACAGCCGTATGCGCTTGGCACATTCGTACTTCTATAGCAGCGTCAATCACGTTATGTTATAGCCAGAACTCATATGAAGATTATTTTGTTTCTCCCCATTAAGTTTGATTAATGAATGAACCATTCTTGCGAATTTAATCTTTTCCCCCATTTCTAGTGTTAATTTACGTTTTAATTAAACTAAATCTTCTGATCATAATAATAATAATAATAATAAATCTATTTACTGATATATTTACAAATGCCTTCTTTTTATTATAAATGTTATCTTCATTGGTAAACTTACCCTTAAGGTGACTACATTATTCAAGTAACCTCTCTATGAAGGCACTTCTAACTTGAAATTCTTTTTAATGTAGCAAATCCCTGCTCCAGAGACGTTTAATCTTCTTGTCGGATTTTAAGGCAGTGTGTATGTTAGTAATGTTTGTACAAGTGAATTAGGATATCCAATAAGTGAGCCATAAAAATGTTTGCAAAATTTCTTAGTTACATTTGTCACATGAGGTTTTTGTAGATATTTATGAAGTAAAGAAATTTAGATTGGAAGAGTTGAATAGTCTGTAAGTATTTTTTTGCTGGAATGGACACTGATTAGTATGCGTCCATATAGTGTAGCGTTTGATGGTTCAATTTTTTTTTTAATGTAGCTATATGTGATTGCTATGCCAATTGTCTGTCCATTGTGAGTTCTAAATATTTTGACTTGTATGGTTTGGCAAAGGGATGTTTTGCAGTATAAGTGGAGAGCAATCCGAACGACAGTGTAAATATAATCCGATTTTTTTCTGAGCACATTCTTAAATTTATCAAATAAAGTGACTTTAATTTCACCAGTTTGTATGTAAGATTTGTAACAATTTATATAATAAAATTTAAGAGTTAAAATTTATGTCCTGTCCTTTTAAATCTGTCCATCATTGTTATTGAGTCTCCATATTTAAGATTTAGGGGCTTGCTTACTTATACTATAAATGGTATAAGATAAAGGGTTCGATTGTGAACTGCTAATAAATGCAAAAAACATGATAAACCTAAAACGATTGAACGAAATAGAAGCGGTGGAAGCCTAGATGAGGAGGAGCACGGATGGCTAGCCTAGAACAGGGAATAAATTATCCGAGAAGAAGACCCCGCAATATACCCCTCCCCCTACTTCCCTCCCCCTCGGTATTTAATTAATGCTAAATCTCATCTCGGCGAATTGATTATTATCTCGAGGGAAAGAATTAGGTCGTTCTTTCTACCCGGGATTTATATCGACATTTTAAAGCCCTTCTCTCCCTCTTTATAATCTTTACCCTCGAGCACCACGGCTAAATACAATAATTATGGATTATCTTTTAATATTAAATGACAATGTTTCAACATGATGTTAACAGATTAATAATAATAATCCTCTATATGCCTAATTTATATAAAATGTGAAATTAAATTATTTTTATTAACAAAACCTGCAAAATACGTTTTAGCTGAGGATTTTTAGATTCGTATATTAATTGCCAAATTAACTATTAAATAAAAAGTAAGGATATGCTCTGATGTTAGAAATATTTGAAAGTATTTTATAAACAAATCACTAAGTGATTCACTGTAACTTAACTACGTATGAAATATATAATAAGGGAAAGTACTGCGATATTGCAAATTATCGAATCCAGATTTTCAAAGAAAATACATTTTTTAAGATTCCCTGAGTTTAAATAATCAAATTTCGCAAAATGGTTTCCCTGCGTGCATATATGGAATAACATGGATAGTTTTCTAATCGGATTCTAGCATTGTGTGGAATTGTGTTGTGTTTAGAAACGAAGGCACAATGGTATGGGTTCCAAGCAAGTTATGTTTTTGGTATAAAGTAATTTTCATTTTTAATTAATATTAGTTTAAAGTTTCGTTAAATATTGAAAGATTTTAAGATGGGTCAAATGAAAATTCTTCTAAGAAATAGAATGATATATATATATTTTTTTCAATTTCGTACTTCAAACACTAAAATAGTTCCCAAATATTTACTTTTTGTGGCCAGGTATTTTATTTACTCACTTTAAATTTATTTGTTTAAATATTAAAATTTAAGAAATATAACTAAATATCTGTTACGAAACAGTCATTAATAATAATGATCCATTATATGACACATATCTGTATAGAAACTACATCTGTAGAGAAACTCACTAAGACAAATTCTTGAAAGGGGATATGAATTTCACGTTGAACTCCATAATTTATGTATCGATTTTACAGGCATATTACAGTATTGAGATAGAAGAATTGATGAAGATAATGATTGAATTGGAATTCACAGAAAGCTCACTAGGCTAGCAAAAATTACAATGCACGACCGCAGGATGAAGATAAAAATACAGGGAATACTATCAGAATAATTTGCAGTGAACAGTGGCCTGAGGCAGAGAGATCCACCGTTCCCTGTCCTTTTCAATTTAGCCTTGGAAAAGGCTTTTAGGGCAATACGAACCAACCCTAATGGGACAATTTATGATCGGCTCACACAGCACTTGGCATATGCGGATGATGTGCTCATAGTTGCAAGAAACACTGCAGCGCTAGGAGGAGCCTTAGAGGAGTTTGAAAGGGAAGTAGCAGAAGTGGGCCTTCATGTAAATGAGGAAAAACGAAATATTTAAAAACTTCCAGGCACCAACAACTGGAATACCATGATCTGCAGATTGGCGATCACAGTTTAAAAAGTACAAGCACGTTTAAGTATCTGGGTGCAGTCATTACACGCGACAACAACTTGAAAGAAGAAGTGAATGCCAGGTTGGCTGCAGGAGGCGATAAAGAGGATGATCAAAAATGCCATGGTTGGATGACGTTGAGGAGGACCTCAAGTGACTGGGAGTAAGAAGATGGAGGACACGAGCGAGAGACAGGAGTGACTGGCTTGGAGTCCTTGAGGAAGCCCAGGTCCTTGTAGGACCATTGCGCCCAGCAGTAAGTAAGTAATTAAGTTATAGTGAACTGGAAATGGGACCTTAGAGGAGAAACGTGATTTAGTATAAATAATGCTGCTATGAATCGTATGCTTGGAATGGAATTCGTGATCAGGAAAACTTTTCGCAGCTTGGTTATAGGATACGACTCAATAAGCCTACGAATCTGTGCATTGCACATTAAAACATTTTTAACTTCTGTGTTCTTAATGGACAGGGAAACGGGAAGAAACCGTAACTCCAGCACCAAGTACGATATAAAAAATATGAAGGAAGGCATGAATGGTGAAGTAGATGAAGATGTAATATACTTTCCAAACATTGGAAGACATAACATTGCATACAGAGCCTACCTTTAACGCTCCTTACAAACTATTTTTTTTTTTTGCAGAGTTCCCTCTTGAAGATCACCTACTAACAGCCTTCTTCATTGCGTGAATAAATTATGTTTTTCCTATTTGCAGCTTTCCTATAAGATCAAATCTCTAATTACGATAAAAAATTTCTAAATTATTGAAAAATTAATTTTTTAACGATTTATTCATAAATACAAACCAAAATGCGTGAGAAAAATATGTTTTTCTATTAATAATTATTTTGAAGACTTCTAAACGGAACAACCGATGCATATTTTCAAATCATTTGGTTCAGCAATTTATACTGTAGCTCCATACAAAGTAGAATAAGAACAACGAGAATGAAGTTAGTTACTACAACCAAAATCAAGACGAATCCTAATCTTATTTTGAGCTATGTCTTCTTAAAATTTCAAGCACTAATAACTTATATTTCTGATGATCCATACAGATACCCTTGTGCATACTTGTTACTTATATATAGTATAGTTATGTGGTTTTTTCTTATATTTGTTAGTTTTCATACGTATTTTTTAGCTAGGTGGGACGCATCGTTGCCAATGTCATATCTCATTTGTTAGTTCACTTTCCACCATTTTCTTTATTTTTAGTATTAAAAAAAAACTATTATCTGAGTACTAACCTCGAGAATACGATTGGAAGTAAGGTCTAGAAAGGCGAGCCTGGGGAGGTGCCGAAACGTGTTCGGTTCGATGTAACTCAGCTCGTTCCGGCTGGCAGAGAAGCTCTCTAGTCTCATCGTGTCCTTTAACAGATCTAAGAAAAGAAGAATGTTTTATAAAAATTTTAATAAAAAATCTAGTAAATGTAATGCATATACTAGACATACATCTACTATACATAAAACCTAGTTATTACGGAGGTCCGTTTTTAGTTACAAATTTTCGTCAAAATACGCACACTGTTTTGCAAAAAAAAAAAAAAAAATATATTTTGTTTTTGTTACAGAATATGTAATTTAATTAGATTTCTACGTATGGTCCGCAGTACAGGCTCCTTTTTATCAAATTATTAACATCTGCCTGGAACTTTGTAAATAATTTCATATCGTCGTAACCAACAACTATTTTATTTACGAAAATTCTTAGAATAGAGGCGTTTTCAATCCCGAGGTTGGCAAACTTTGTCTATTTAATTAGGCATTAAAAACTCATCTATAATTAAAATATACCCATTAATTATTTATATAATAATATACCTATTTGCTTTCCACTTGGATAGTAAGATAATTTTATCGCAAAAGCTAGAAATAAGGTGTACAACGAAAATATTTGGCGGTTTGGCATAACAAAATCGTTATTTTGACTTTTTGGGGATGTAGGTCACGCCAAATAGCTCAATATTTTTGAAAGGCACCTTTTTTCTCGATTTTGTGCTTAAATTATGTTAGGATTCAAGTGGAAAGCAAATGGGTGTTCACGAGTTTTCAATACTTAATTAAATAAACAAAGTTTGATGATACCCAGATTCCGAGATTTTTCGTAAATAAAATATTTGGAGGTTACGATGAGATTTAGCTATTTACGAAGTTTCAGGCGGATGTTAATAATTTGATAAAAAGGTGTCTGTACCACATATCGTAACCTACAAATTTCTTATCTACAAATTTTTTTAGAAATGAAGCGTTTTATCATGAAATTAATTATTAAATAAATTATCTTACGATTCAAGTGGGCCTTCATGAGTTTTTTAGGACATCATTAAATTAACAAACTTTACCGATCTCCAGATTGAAAAAGCCTCATTTCTGAGAACTTTCGTAAAAATGTTGTTGGTTACGATAAGATGAAGCGATATACAAAGTTTTGATAAGTCGAATGTTTATAGTTTGATAAATAGGGTTTGTACCGTGGGAAAGTACAAAATCACTTTAAAATGTTGGACCAAAATTAGGACCACCCCGGATTTCGGGCCAAAATTTTTTTCTTATTTATTTCTAATAAGTATTTTTGCATCTATTGGAGTTTTGGCATCTATTGGAGTTTTGGCAATGGCCAGATCATCCACTCAAGCCCGAGTGTGTATGATTAGGTTAGTTCTTTTGTTTATATACATTTATTTTATTTTATTGTATTTATTTTTATTTTATTTATTGTATTTATTATTATTAAGTTTCTGTATTATTTTATTTTTTTTTATTGTAAATAGAGTGTGAGTGTGCTTTCTCTGAGCACTATTATAAATGTCCTTGATGTGACAGAATGTAATATTTCTAAATAAACAAATAAAAAAAAAAAAAAAAATAAGTATTTTTAGTATCAATAAAAGAAGTTTTATTGATAAGTATATATTTCACTTCGTGGCCTCCACTTGTCATGGATATAGCTATATGTAGTAAATACATATGGTCGGTTTATTCATAAATATCTCGAATTACATTTTTGATGGAACTAAGCATTTTATAGTTATGTGAATTTTAATCTTATTTATCGCGCAAATACATAGCATGTTCTTCAAAATGACAGAAAATCTTCTGTTTATTAAAAATAGTTATACTACGTTCTGATTAATAATTTTATAAAAGTTAGTTGACTTTTTGCATTAATCCCACAATATATGTAATTAACCAGTACATACCAAATTCAATACTTAATAACTACTGAAATAGTTTGCTGAATAAATTAATTTATGAATACCAGTTACAACTGCAATTAGTCCAGATACAGATTTTAACTGTGATTATGTAGGCATATTAATCATTTATCTCGTATAAATTAATTAATTGCTAAATGCATTAGTCAGTTGTTAAATTTATTCTTTATTGAACGAATAATAGGCACCTACACCAAGCTATCCATGTTTAATTTAACGAATACATCGCAGCAAAAGCTATACATATTAGTTGGCTGTTAGTCATAAAGGTTAATATCTATTTATTTATATCCTTCTCAACTAATGTGAGTTAAAATAATATCTGAAAATTATTTTTCTTTTGTCTGAGTCATATAATTAAATTTAATAACAGAATTTACTTTCTCAGCAATTTTCCTTTATTTTTATTACACTTCTTATCCCATCATCAGACAGTACTCACCTTCTATCATCTCATTTTTTTAAAAAGATCTGTCATAATTTTTTTATGTTTATATTTTCATAATTCGTCCCTTAATTATATTGCGGAGTCTAGTAGATATAGTGTCCCTCAGGCTCTCCCTAGAGGAGTCCACAATATAATAAAGGGATGTGTTATGAAAATATAAAAATAAAAAAAAATATGACAGATCTTTTTAAAAAAATGAGATAATGGAAGGATGAGGTACTGTCTGAAGATGGGGTAAGAAAGTGATAACGAAACGTAATAAAAATAAAGAAAAATTGTTGGGAGGGTAAATGCTGTTATTAGCTCAGATAAAAAACATCTTCCTTAGGACTTATGAAGAAGATTTTTCTTTTTGTTTCGTAGCACTTAATTAGTCTAAGGTTATCTTAAGCAGTATAAATCCTACAGTGAGATCAATCGCCTGGTTTTAGAGAAGCTTAATTTGAAACGATTATTAATATATGGTTGGTACAAAGTATCCACTAGAACTGTTAACGGCCGAACATTTCTTCTGCCGTACACTTGTGTCGGTCAATATGGCACAACGAATAATAAAAGCACTAGTGCGCCTACTCTAGACCATCCTCATCAGCCGAAGTCGAATCAATCCGTTGGGAGGCCGCTGTGGCCGAGCCTATTTAAGTGTTGTCCACTTTATCATTTCCAAGTCTTGTGGCACCAGTTTCCATCCAGGCGGGTTGATTTTTTTTTTTTTTTTCTACTTCACCTTTTAGGCTATACGGGATTTTTCCGGACCGGGGGGTGAGAAAGGGGAATTTAAAATCCCCTCCGGCACCGGGACGCGAACTTGTACTTTTTAAATCTCAAATCTGTAATCCGGTTGCCAGGCAACTCGCGGTGCTGTGCACATGTTTTAGCCCATTCGGCCACCACGCCCCCTCCAGGTTGAAATTTATTGTGTGGCGACCCCACAGAATGAAACTTGACCTTCCGAATTAAAAATTACGTAAGTTTGTAGGTACGTTTAGTACCACCTTCCTCCCCCTCATCCAACAATAAGAGTTAAATGAAAAAAAAATAATGCAATAGAGATTTAATCCAAACCATAATCCGCCTTATGTTTCGATGGCGGTCGGTCGACCAGTGATAAAATTAATTAACTTATTATTTTTTATTTTTTTTTTTTTTGTCTATTAAATATGTATTTGCGCCTGTCAACAATAAGTTAACAATCAGCAAATGTGATGGCGGTAAAGATAAAATGACATGACAGGCATGGGGAAGGAAAGTACTCAGCAGTACCTCTTCCCTAACTTGTTCCAATTACTTAGGTTGTCTAAGGAAGGAGATCCCTTATCCAACGCCTTTTTAGTCTCCTGTTCATGTTCTGAGGTATGTCAGCTGTGGCCATGTCTCTTATAAGTCTGTTATTATGTCCGTTTAAATTTGTGTAAAATCGTTGATATAGGGTCGTTATATGTTGGTCAACTGTTGGAAGGTGGAGGTCAGTATGTAGAGTTTTGTTAGTCACGTACCAAGGTGCTTTTGTTATGAGTCGCAATAATTTTGATTGGAACGTTTGAAGTTTTTGTAGGTGGGTCTTTTTAGCGATGCCGTATATTTGTGATGAGTATGTCCATATGGGCTTAAGTAAGTATGTATATGTATTCAGTTTCTGTTTTAGTTTTAGTTTCGAAGATTTGGCAAAAAGAGAGTAAAGTAGTTTGAGTCGTTTGTTAAGTGTCATGCGTTTCATTTTAACATGTGGGCCCCATGTCATCCTTCTGTCGAAGGTGAGTCCAAGGTAAAGTACAGTGTCCGTTTGAGGAATTTGATTGTTGTCAATATAAACTGGAGGACAGGTGTTTTTTCGAAGAGTAAATGTTATATGTTTGGATTTGTCATGATTAAGTCGAATTTTCCATAGTGTGAACCAATCTTGTAGTTTAAGCAAATGATGTTGTAGAGTTAGTGAGGCCTGTGTAGGGTCTTGATGTTTTGTGAGGATTGCTGTATCGTCTGCATATGTAGCTGTCAAGATCTCATCGTCAATAGGTATATCGTAAGTGTATATAACGTAAAGTAGAGGGGCTAGTATTGAACCTTGGGGAACTCCGGCCAAGATTGGATGGACTGAAGACACTTCCGAGCCCTGCCGAACTGAAAAAAATCTGTCGAAGAGGAAAGATTGAAGGATAAGATAGTAGGTGTATGGAAGTATAGTCTTAAGTTTAAAGAGAAGACCCTGGTGCCAGACTCTATCAAACGCCTGAGCAACATCCAAAAATACTCCAGTTGCATATAGTTTTTGTTCTAAAGCTCCAGCAATGTAGTCTGTAACTCTGTGCAATTGATGTGTCGTCGAATGGAATGTGCGAAAGCCGAATTGGTGGTCAGGTATTACCTGTTGGTCAGTCAATATGTCAACAAGTCTTTTGTATATTAATTTTTCAAAAACTTTAGAGCATATAGGAAGGAGGCTAATGGGTCTGTATGATGAAGGACTGTATATGTCTTTACCGGGTTTGTGAATCATCTTAATAAGTGAGTATTTCCATTGTAAAGGGAATTTTGACGTCCTTAGTATACAGTTGTAAATTGTTGTCAGAAATACTAGAGCTTTCTTGGGCATTTGTTGGAGTGCTTCGGCTGTTATTAAGTCATAACCAGGAGCTTTTCTTTTCGGTAATTGTTTGATTTGAAGTGCAACCTGAGATGGAGTAAAAGAAGGAGGTGGTAGTGTCAGCTGAAGTGG